TCGCAGAATCGAGTAATTAACTTAACAAAAGGCTTCATAATACACATTTATCGATAAATAATTAATAAATAATTAATCTATTATTTAAAATATTTATATAATTTAATATTCCGCGTATATATACGTTATAGTACGTGAAATATTTCGGCAACGTATTATCAATAACAAGATGTTCAATCTTGGTGACGTATAGCGCACTATTGTTTACATGTTATGGCCTTGTTATCATTCGTACGGCAACATTCGAGCACTGAAGTATTGGTGCGAAAAGTTTCATATATTGTCAAATTTTTGCTCTAAACACGATCGTGACTAATATTGAAATATAATTCGCTATGATTATTACAGAATTAACGATCAATTAGCTTTTGCTCAATTAGCTTTTGACATAAAACTGTATCGCGATGATAAATCGAAGCGCTGTGCATACGATCATTCCGCGATTGGGAGAACTGTGCAAAGTGTCTCGTGATCATCGCATATTCGACTAATCGTAATTAACTGTGTTTTCGCGAGTAAGTGTAAATGCTACGTGAATACAACAAAGGAACAAGAGAGGAGAAAGAACTCCGGAAAAGCATGAGGCGACAGACGGATCGACGGTATGAGGTAAGTAATTTATTATTATTAATATATTTGTATTTATCATTTATGTTATTATTTCCAAAATACACATTGCTTGTTCTTTTTTAATTTTCTTGATAATGATCCATTTTATATTATCATATAACACAATTCTATATTAATTCTATATTATCATATAACACGTATATGTAAAATATTTCAGATTTTATTTTAAAATACTAATTATATTTTTATTGATTATACTTTTCAAAAGTCTTTATCCAAAAAGAAACTTTTTTAGTAATTATCAAATTTATCATATTAAATACCTGTTTAAGGGATAAATAAAAAATTTGGTTGCGCGTAATAATTAGTTTTTCAAAATCAATTATTTTAGAATCTTTACTTATGATACAGAATATATCTGCAAAAGCATTAATTGATTGTATTTGCACTTAATTTGTGTTTGGTTTTTGCGTATGTTTCAAATACCGTTACAACTTTTATTGTGTCGAAATATCCACATTGTTATAAAAAAAAGTATACCTCTCCGTTCTTTTGTAAGCAACTACTATGCTC